CCCAGTACTTACGAGGCTGAGCCAAGGAGATCACCAAAAGTTTGAACCCTACCTGATTTATCTGTCAAGTTTCAGAAAATCCCAGACTGCAGAATGAAACCATTTCAAACCAAAACCAAAAAAACAAACAAAAAAGAAAACCAGGTCTGGTACACTCCTTTAATCTTAGCACTCAGGAAGCAGAGGCAGGTGGATATCTACCTGGTCTACATAGGCCAGCCTAGTCCAAGCTCCAGTATAACCAGGACTACACAGAGAGATGCTCAGAAAGTCAAATAAACAAACAAACAAATCAGGAAAAAAAAACTCAGGCCAAGCTTAGTAGAGCCGGAATAATCTAAGCAAATGCCTGAGTTGGGTTATGGAAACAAATATGGTAGAGTCTCTAGGAATGAAAGTTCACAACAGAATGAGAGAGGGACTGAATCTTCTTCACAGGTAACAGGGAGCCCTGCTTTACAATCAAGTGAGTGGAAGTAAGGCCAGCCAGGACCAGCACTGAGGAGGGCACAGCTACAGAAACACCAGCTGTCCATCACAAGAGTCTGTGCTGACACACAGGTTGTGGTCACTTTTCAAGATTGGGTAAAAGAACTGGAGAAAGAAGGACCTGAGCATATAAATGAGAAAGCTCCTTCCCTCCGTGAGTCTCTAAAGAGCCCCTTCCTATCATTCCTTTGCCCTTCAGTCACTCTTGAAGGATATGTGGCGGGTGTATCTGCGGAGTGGGGACACCATTCTGCGGGGATCTCGTTGTACCCGTTCCACCAACCCATGGTGCCGAGTGCTCCGAGATGAATCCAAAGGTGAATGAAGGGGGCTCTGCCAAAAGGACAGGTGACTCAGCAAGGGAAGGAGCCTGAGAGCCTATACTCCTCCTTGGCTGGTGTCCACTCACCTGGAACTCAGCCAGGCCACAGCCAATCTGGTTAACATTGGGCAGAGAACCACCATAATGGGAGCTCCTTGTATAAGCCAGTCGCAGTTTTTGGGCCTGTAACTGAGATAAAAGAGACAAATGGGCATGTCAAGGAAGGTTGTAAGTACTGTTCCCTTTGGCCATCTCTGCCACCAGAATACACTACTGCTTTCTAAGATATCTGCCAGTAAAAAGGCAGTGATGTGGAAAAGCAAGACCTGGTACAAACAACCCACCCCAGTCTTTCTGCAGCTTCCTAAGCAATGAGCTCCTACTGCCTGAAAACCCCGCTGGGCAAGGCCTGTCTCTGTCTCTTGGTATCCCCACTGAGGCAAGTCATAGATGGTGGCCTATTAGGCACCTTCTGCCTTCATTTCCAGATATGTCCAAAACTGATTAGACGATGAGAAGAAGACAGGAGTTGATGACAAAGATTCATTACTGACAGTTTCTTTCCTTCACACTCTTAAGACCTTAAGTTTCTGGGATCTGCTTCATTTCCAGCTTTAGAACAAGGCTGCTTACAGAGTCTGCACATCCCAAACTTAACCCAAAAAGTGATGATGATGGTTCTGCTAAAAGAGAAGTAACCAACCCAAGTACTATTCTACTGGATGCTACGATAGCTGAATTAGTAGAGGAGGGAGAGGGCACAGTAACCTATTACAACTTGGGCAAGGGCATCTCCTGCCAGTTCATAGAGATGTCTGCTAAGGAAGTGAGACAAAATAACCCTCAGTTGGCCATAGTTTTAGTCTCTCTATGTATCACATGTACCTCTGTATGAGAAATAAGTAGCTACTTCCAAGGCTCAGACTGCCTGCAGCCAAATAAATAGAGCTGGGATAAGGGCATGGAAAGGAGGAGAGTAATCAAGGAAGAGTAGATTCTGAAAGCTCAGACCTGATCAGAACGTGTCTTCTATTCCAGATCAGCTCAGTGATGCCAGTGGGTGATGCTGATCTCTGGGCTAAATGAATAGACCCTCCAAGTTCTCAGTGGTATATGCCACCACGACTGTCTCTGCCTCTGGCACACCCTTCCAGTTAGCCAGGTAACAAAGTAAGCCTTTCAGTCCAAACTCAAGTTTCTTGTATTTGTAGTCTCTGGCCATGTATGTTCACTATTATTTTGCCATGCAGCAGAGAAGTTAATCAGCAAAAGAAAAGTAGGGAGAAAAGTGCTACCAAAGCACCACAAAGAGAGAAGCCCCGGCTTGCATACAATAACTCTGGTCCAGAGTACAGAGCCTCAAGGATTCCACTGGAAATAAACCTCTCTCCCATCTTCTTGACTCTACCCCTACCATAATCAAAAGCTCTTAATGGGAGCAGTCAACAGTTCATAATCCTCATAGTGGTTAAGAGTAGGTTATACAAACACACACACACACACACACACACAAAACACCCAAGATTTGTGTCTCTGTTTATCTATCTTGAACTCTTACAAACTAGAGCATGTGGTCTCTAGAAAATCAAAGGGGAAACACACACAGGACTCAAAGACTAGAGGAAGATATACACATAAATACAGTCAGTCAGTCATATATAGAACTAAAGAGCTTTGAAATACGGTATTTATGCTCCATTATCTCCCCTTAGATTCCTTCTAGCTCTTTATCATGAAAGATACTGCAATATCCCTCACCTGGTGTTTTAAAAATAATTTTGTTCCTAAATTGGGGCTGCTTACCTGCAAACTCTTGAGTGTTCACCCCAATTCCCTCACAACCTGCCCTGGGAAGCAACAGACCAAGGCAGGGGTTGGGGGTTGCTTTCAAAAAACATCAGAGGCCTGAAAATTCTTTGTGGAGCTTCCTAGGAATGAATATTTCCCACACATAGAGGACTCTAGAAAGCATTCCAGATATTGACCCACAAGTAGCACCACCTCCCTATAGAAAGTTCAGCACATCCTCAGTCAAAGGATAGGTGATCCTTTAACCCAATTTGGTGATTCAAAGCTCTACCTTTCCTCCCAGGCTCCCAGAGCCAGACACCAAGACCCATACTGTAAGCAATGGTCTTCACCTTGACTCAAGTCAGGAAACCACACGAAATATTTGAAAAAGGAAGCAAAGGGACGGGACACAGGAGGGGACTTCCTGTCCCAATATACCCAGCACAGCCCGATCAAACCACTCGAGGGGCCCTCTCCCCTTGGAACCTGGTGTCCCATAAGAGCACAGGCACTAGTTTGTTGATCACAAACTCAGAAAGGGTCAGATTAGGGACAAGCAAACTATGCTCCCAATACATAATCCAAGATTGAGGATGCTTCAGTGGAGTACCTGAAAGGACTCGGCCAGGGATAGACAAGGGCCATTCCCCAGGAGATGGACTTCGGTGGCCCATCTCCTCCTGCAATCCCTGCTTCATACGTAAATGACTCCAACCCAGTCTTTACTACTCCCCCAACCCTCCAGTGTGTTCACCTCTTCCCCGCAAAATTCGTCTAACTGACTCTGAGCCCTCACCCCATGCCACCCAGACGGCGGCGCCCGCTGTCCCAGCAGTGTTCCGCCTCCCGCCCTGCAGCTCCCGCCCCCGCCCCGCCTCTCCGTTCTGCGACCGCTCCTCAGTGATCCGGCTCCCAGGCATGACCCCTTACCCGTGTGGAGCCGATGTCCATCATCACCTCCTCGAAGGCCGCCGTCTCCTCGGCCTGACGCTGCTTCTGCAGCGCGATCTTCTCACTAAACTTGCGTGGATTGGACGCTGAGGCTGTGGCGGAACCTGGCCCGTTCGCCCCTGACGTCGCCATCTTAGCCCTGCGTGCCTCCCCGCCACCTTCCCAGGTCCAGCCACGGCCCCCCGCCGCGGGCCCGGCCCGGCTCCTTCAGCCTTAGCAGCCGCCGCCGCCGCCTCCGCGAGCCCGGCGGCTCGTCCCCAGCCTAGTCCTGACTCGAGACGCACCGCCTACTGGGACATGTAGTTTGTTTACGGGCTTCCTCTACGCCCTCAGCTACGCAGCGAGGGCAGGAAGTGGACTCCACTTCCCAGAAGTCGCGTGACCCTGGGAGACCGGCACGCACAACACCCCTCACCTACTCCTCGCGCACAGGAAACCGGGAAAGATAGTTTTACAAACAGTCGCGAGCCTACGAACGGGAAGGGGAGAGGGATTCGCCAAGGAAGACGAAGACGAGGAAGGGAAGGGGTGGAGACAGAAAGGGAAGAAGGAAGAGACAAAAGAGAAATTTGGTTATCCTGAGGAAAGGTGAGAAGTGGGGCGAGTGAAACCGAGGACTTAAATCAACTGTACGCATCTGAGATGCATATCCTCTCCGACTGACCACAACAAACACAGAGACGCGCGTACGCGCAGCGCGCACACACACACACACACACACACACACACACACACACGCACACACACGCACACACACGCACACGGAATCAGATAGCAAAGAGGTGTATAGAAACATCTTTTATTTGGGTAACATGTCCCAAAACAGGTCAGTTAGTAAAATAGATTCAACAGAGTACAGCCCTATACACAAACCTCCCTCCCCAAAAATAATCTTGGGGTGGGGGGGAAGTCTGTCTCCCCCCCAACCCCGGACTCCTCAAATACAAAGTTTTGGCAGGTTATTGTTATTATCTAGGTATGGACCACCATGTCCACTTTCTGTAGTGGCTGGTGTCAGTACCTACTGTTCTCTCACTTCAGACCAGTTCAGCAACATTTCTGCCCCACACCAAATTGTGGGGCCTAAAAAAAAAAAAAAGCAAATAGGTCTCATCTACTGAGGTGCTGGCAGTACCCAGCACCTCATCTCTGTGCTTTCAGAAAAGGGGTAGGTGAGCAATGCATGGTGCTGCACACCTTTAATCCCAGCTCAGGAGGCAGAGAGGCAGGCAGAGCTTCGAGTTTGAGGCCAGGACAACCAGGGCTATACAGAGAAACCCTGTCCAAAAAAAAAAAAAAAAAAAAGTCGGGCGGTGGTGGCGCATGCCTTTAATCCCAGCACTTGGGAGGCAGAGGCAGGCGGATTTCTGAGTTCGGGGCCAGCCTGGTCTACAGAGTGAGTTCCAGGACAGCCAGGGCTACACAGAGAAACCCTGTCTGGAAAACAAAACAAAACAACAACAAAAAAAGAGCAGAGAATAAAACCTAAAGGGGGAAAAAGAAAAAGAAAGAAAAAAATAACCTAAAGGGTGAATGGGTGGGTGGGTATTTGGCACTTTCAAAATAGACTAGTGAAGCTGGTTGGTGGTGGCGCACGCCTTTAATTCCAGCACTTGGGAGGCAGAGGCAGGTGAATTTCTGAGTTCGAGGCCAGCCTAGTCTACAGAGTGAGTTCTAGGACAGCCAGGACTACACAGAGAAACTCTGTCTGGAAAACCAAAAAAAAAAAAGACCAGTGAGCTACGCAGTGGTGGCGCAGCACCCCCTTTAATCCCAGCATTAGGGAAGCAGAGGCAGGTGGATTTCTGTAAACTCAAGCCCAGCCTAGTCTCCAGAGTGAGTTCCAGGACAGCCAAGGATACAGAGAAATCCAAAAATGTGAGGACAGGAGAGGCCAGATAAATTAGGAAAACTGGAAAGAGGCCATTTGGCACTAGTCCCTTGGTGGAAGACAAGAGAGAAATATAAGAATAGGAGGCAAGACAGTAGGAGGAACCACTTCAGTCAGCAGAGTGGTGAAATGGACTAGAACCAACAGGTTACTGGCTTTGACTTAACGCCTCTGTATCTTTGTCCCAAAGCAGCTGGATGCCTAACTCTGTTCTTCTGTCAGCTTGTCTCTTAGATGTAGTGCCTAACCTCTGATTGTAGCAGTCTGCTTCCTCCTAATGCCCCTGACCGTGTCTGTAGTAACTTGGCTATCTCCTAGTCTTTGGGTCTGGGGCTAGCCTCTCCTCTGCTCACTTCCATCTCATTACTCATAGTCCAAATGTCCCATCCCTCTCTCTCAGAGAACTCTTTGGTCCTCATTACTTCCTTTTTCCATTCCTTTCTATTTCCCACAAATTGAGAAGGGCAGGGAGGACAGGGGCATCTGATAGTCAACTTCCCCTGCCTTTCCTCTTGAAGCACCTTAGATTTGGACGAAGAGCAGGCCGGTGAGCAGGGCAAAGCCTGCTAGGAGCAGAATGACCTTGAGGATCCTCTGCTCAGAAGTGGCCAGCTCCTGGGGTAGGATTTCCAGGAAGGTGATATAGAGGAAGGTGCCAGCTGCCATGCCCTCCAGAACAGATTGGGCCAGCTGGTGCAGAGGCCCAGCTGACTCTGCCAGAGCTGCACCCAGCCCGATGCCCAGAGGTGTCATACATGAGAAGAGGATCCCACAGCCAGCTACCACCTGCACTCGTAGGTGGCTCTGTAGCAGCCGCAGGGACAGGCTGACTGCCAGGATACCCTTGTGGAGCAGCAAAGCTAGGCATAGCTCCATTGCCCGAGCCCTGTCTCGCTGCAACCCTACTGCCAGGCCCTCAAATACTGAGTGCAAGGCTAAGGAGAAGACCAGTACACAGGCACGCAGGGCTGAGGGAGCTGCTGGAATTCCGCTGGCCTGGGGGATCCCTGGTCCATCATGCCAGTGTTGAGGCCCACCATTCACTGTGCCCAGTAGAGCCCGTGTCTCTTCCGGATGTGGTGGACTGGACTGCTCCTTGTAAGCCAGTGTGATCTGCTCCATCACCAAGACCAGGAAGAAACCCATGGCCAGGATGAACTCTTGCAAGGGGAACTGAAGCTGTGAACAGAGGTGGCAACAAGAGTTCAGGAAACAAGACAAGGGGAAGAAAAGCCTGGTAGAGGCCATGTTATACACATTTGAAGTCCCACACAGACAGGCTCCCTGCAGTCACACAATGATGAAGTCCTTGGTGGCACAACCACAGAACAACACTTAATGGAACAGTATGATATCACAAAGTGTTACATGCAGACCAACTTTGGGACTAATAACATTTTGGGATAAACATCTCTGTGACTGCTGTCATACATACTGTAAGTAAGCAGTGTTTCTGGCTTCTACCCATCAGATGTCAGTGGCAAACACAATATCACCACTACCAACACTAAGCTGTGACCCCCCCCCAACCCCCAAGAATGTCTCCACATATTACCCAGTCAGTGCTTCCTAAGGGTCAAAACTTCCCTGGGCTAAGTCATGGCACAGTGTTACATGTAAGCATACAAAGGATTGCATCTGGGCCTGCCTTCCCAAATGTTCACATACAAAGCTACATGTCACAGGGACATTCACAGTCATATGGAGACATAGGTCGCTCAGTCACAGTTACACAGAGGTAGGTCAGTACCCATTACTATTTCCTCAGTCCCAGTGGAAAACAGATGACTTTGCTGAACAACTGTCTCAGGTTTTCCTATACTGAGTTTTTTGGAATGTTTCTGTTTAGGAGGCAGGCAGGGGGTTGAGACAGTCCTTACTGTGAAGCCTAGACTTGCCAAGAAAAATACTACATACTCTAATCCGGGCTCGAACTCCTCATGATCATCCTGCCTCAGCCTTGCAGGTCCTGGGACCGCACTACTTGTGTTATGACAGAGTTCCTTGCCTTGGACCCCATAGCCCACTTTCTTGAGAACATCTGGCCCCTGGGAATTGCTTCCTCCCCTCCAAGATCTGCAGCGATCTGTCTCCAGCACGCTGGTGAACACCTGCAACCCATGAAATTGTAGAGGGAGAACCAAGAGCTTTAGAGCAGTCTACATTACATAGTGAGAAACTACTGGGAAAGAGGGCCCTCACTCGTGTTCATTTAAGTTACCCTAATTAAACTGATGGAGTCAAGCACTTTCACACACACACACACACACACATAAACACATTCAAAAGAGAGTTCAGAAGAGGATAATCAGAGGGAGGAACAAGAAGTCATAATAGGAGTGAATATAGTTAAGATACTTTATATGTGTATGAAAATGTAATAATAAAGCCTATTACTATGTATAAGATGTACAAATAAAAAAATACAGAAAGAAAGGGGATGGTGGGTGAGGTAGCACAGACCTGTGATTCAGCATCTGGGAGGCAGAGGCAAGAAGATCACTGCAAATTTGAGGCAGGTCTACAAAACAAGTGCCGGGCCTACATGGTGAGAACCTGTCTCAAAAAAGAAAAGGAGAAAAAGAGAAGGAGAGAGAGAAGGAAGGAGGGACAAACGGATACATGTATGAAATGTGATTCTTGGAACACTGTTAACTTCCTGGGAACTGCAATTCAGAGTAGTTCACACACCTGATAAGGCTCCTTACACTATCTCAAGGAGTACAGAGAGGTCAAGCAGCATCCAGTGTCAGGGAATGAACGCACAGAAAGAGTATCCTGTTACTGAAATCCATAACTCACAGGCTCACACACTAAGGCCTTCCACAGCCATGAGGTGACCCCTGAAGAGAGCAGTAGAACCATGTTTTTCTTTTTGGTTTTTCCAGACAGGGTTTCTCTGTGTAGCCCTGGCTGTCCTAGAACTTGCTGGCTTCCAACTCACAGGTGGTGTGCCACCACCACCCAGGTTATAGCTGTGTTTTCTATTAGCTATTCCACAATCTACTCTTGGTCACATGTTGAGGTCAGTGCTTACCGTCACATGCAGGGCCTCCAAGGCCTCATCTATGGCAGCCAGGTAGTCAGGCAACAGGTCCAGAAGACAGGTAGCCAAAAAGACTCCTCCTGCGAAGCAGCTTACTAGACTTAGGGCTTTCTGGCCTGAGGCTAAACAAGAGGGAAGTACAAAGAGGGTTATAACCAATGAAACCCTTCAAAGTCCCTCTACTCCAACAGAAGCTGCAGCCACTCCTGCCTTCCCTACTCCTTAGTCACCTCGCCCAGCCTCCAGAGCAGAAGAGACGCACCTGAAGCTTCACGGTTAGCACCTGACCTTCGAAGCACACAGACAGGTACCAGGCTGCAGATGAGTGTCAGCAGCAGCAGTAGCACCAAGGCCCCCAGCTTCACCTCCAGCCCCACTGGCACTGAGGGCTCCGATGAGATTGCTTCTGGGCGCCACACCAGGAGCTCTGGCTCCCCCCAGGGCCCCATGGTGGTTGTGATAACTCGGTGACTCTTCGACCTATACAGAGAAGACTAGCATGGGTGGGAATGGTCACATAGGAAAGAAGGGGTCAAGGAAAAGGGAAGGCTGGTCAGCAGAATGTACTTCCCTCAGCCCAGCCACTTTCTGGCCTTTCCCAGCTGAAGTGACTCATCTACTCCAACACCAGGATTGTATTTCCTCCTTCGAATTTCTCTCTCCCCAAGTTCAGCGAGCCATTAAAGAGGAAACTGAGGCACGAGAAGGCCAATATAGATATCACATTACTCCTTCACCTGGAGCACCTGGAGCAGAAAATTAGGGACAGACTCCAGATAGGACCTGGAGCTGGAGCTGGGGGTTCCCTAAGGAAGGCAGACCACTCTAAGTGCATGTAGCAAAGGGAGCTTGGAGCTGAAGAGAAGTCCGGGATGGCTTTACCGATGATCTGAAACGGGGCGAACTTCGGGGCTGGATGACTCTCTTAACTACCCACTCCCCAGGGCCATTTCCCGGAAATAACAGGTAGTCTCGGCAAACAGCCAAAGAGGGGCTTGGGACGAGCTAATAGGACCGCACTGAGGGCGGCGTCTGAAAGTCTCGGAGACCAGGTCGGAGGCCGCCAGCGTCGCAGGAAGCAGAGGAATGTTAAAACAGCGACCCCAGTTCCTAGCCTGGGAGGCCTCAGAAGCTGCCTTTGACCCTGCGCCCAGCGAGGCCTCACTCACCTCCCGAGGGTCTCACTCCATTGCTGTCGCTCGGTTCCGGCCTCGCGTCGGGAATTCCCACCCCCTCCCCACCCCTCTCCCCTCCCCCGCCGCCTCCGCGTACCCGCACGCGGCTGCCAATGACTGCGCTCAGTGGGAGGAGACTAGCCTGAGTGACGTGCGTTACGAGCAATTAGAATCTGAAAACAGGAGAAGGTTGGGCTGGCGCCGAGCTGAGACGAAGCCAGAACCGGGAGGGGACTTGCGGGAAGACCTGAGGGTGGTGGGGGCCCCCGCGCTGCCATGGACAAGCTGGCCGCTGGGGCCTGACAGTCAGAAAGACTTTGATAGAAGTGAGAGCCAGGAACTCTGCGAGCAAGGCCGGTTCCCTATCCTTACTCCAAGTATTTTTTCCTACGTCTCTCAGGATATCTGTCTGGCCTTGGCCCCAGACACTTACAGCCCAGGCTCATTTAGTGCCTAACTGGGCCAAAGGGTAATCATTCCCTTTTTGGGACAAATTTCCTTGCGGGGCTTGCCTATCCAGCCTCCACAAAAAAGAAGATAAGACGGGCTGTAGTGGCCCACACCTTTACTCCCAGCACTCTGCAGGTGAATCTCAAGGCCAGCCTAGTCTACAGAGTTCGAGGACAGCCAAAGCTACACAGAGAAATCCTGTCTCAGAAAAAAAGAAGAAGAGGAAAAAGCAGGATTAGGAAAAAATGAATGTATGACATAAAAGCGATCCTTTTTTTTCTTTTTTTCTTTTCTTCGAGACAGGGTTTCTCTGTGTAGTCTTGGCTGTCCTGGAACTCACTGTAGATCAGGCTGGCCTCGAACTCAGAAATCCTCCTGCCTCTGCCCCCCAAGTGCTGGGATTAAAGGCGTGCGCCACCACTGCCCGGCAAAAGCGATCCTTTCTAAAAATTTATAATTAAATAAAACGATTTTTCCTAGACTCTAGTGGCTCATTTGATTTCTAAACCTGAGTGAGTAATATCAGCACTGAGGTAGGGTTGCCCTGAGCCATGGATGTTGGTTTTGGCAGAATCAAGAAAGGCAAATCCAGTATCTACTCCAGTAAGAACAAAACGTTGTCCTTTCCATGGAGGAAATGTGTAATATAGTCAACCTGCCACCGGGTTGCTGGCTAGTCACTTCAAGGAATGGTGCCATATCTGGGGCTCAGTGTTGGTCTCTGCTGTTGGCAGATCTGGCATTCAGCAGCAATTGTAGCCAGGTGACTGCCTATTTATTTCTTTTTGTCTTAGATCTCATACTTAAAAGTTCACAGTGGCCTGTGATCACTGTGTAGCCAAACTGTCCTGGACTCAGGGCAATCCTGCTATAGCCTCCCAAGTGCTGAGATTAGTGGCCTGTGTGTCCCCATGCCGGTTCACCAATGTAGTTTTCTCTTTAGACCTTCACTGCTTGCTCAGCCTGGAATCTCTTGATCTCATAACCCACTATTCTAAGAATCCCCTACTGGGCCAGTGAAGAGAAGAGATGGTTCAGATGTTAAAGATGCTTGCCATTAAGCTTTTAAATTGAATTGGATGTTCCGCACCCCCAATCCATAAGGTAGAGAGATCCAACTCCCACGGTTATCCTCTGGCTTCCAAATATGTGTCCAGCAGCACCAAACACACACATAAAATAAAATATATTAACATTTGCTGGGCTGGAGAGACGGCTCAGTAGTTAGAAGCACTGATTGCTCTTCCAGAGGTCCTGAGTTCAATTCCCAGCAACCACATGGTGGCTCACAACCATCTGTAATGCCATCTGATTTCTTCTTCTGGTGTGTTTGAAGACAACAATAGTGTACTCATATAAATAAAATAAATAATTCTTTTAAAAACATTAACATTTGCTGAGTTCAAGGATCTTTTTGAGTTCAAGGCCAGCTTTGGCTCAACAATTAGGAGCAAACTGTGCACTTTGCAGCACTTTGCCCAGGACCAACACACATGTCAGGCAACTCATAATTACTTATAACTTTAGTTCCATGGGGACCAAATAAATCTGGCTTCCTCCTGCCTCTGTACATACCCACACATAAAAATACACACAATTTAAAATAAAATAAATCTTTTAAAAGTTGAATAGGGGACTTGAGAGAGACCAGCTGAATGATTAAGAGCATTTGCTCTTCCAGAGAACACAAGTTTGATTTTCAGTAATCAAATCAGTCTGTAACTACTGCTTCAGGGGATTCAACACATATGGCCTCTGCAGGCACCTACACTCACACACAGACATAAACAGCTAAACACTAAAAATCATTTAATTAATTTTATGTATATGGATAGTTTGCCTCCATACATGTCTCTGCAGCATATGCATGCAATGCCTACACAGTGTAGAAGAAATCATCAGACACCCTAAAACTAGATTTATAGACAGTTGTGAGCTGCCATTGGAGTGCTGGAAATTGAACCAGGGTTCTCTGGAAGAGCAACCAGTTCTCTTTAACCACTGAGCCATCGCTCCAGCTCCAAATTGTATTTTAAAAGTTAAATAAAAATTGTATTTGTGGCCGGGCGGTGGTGGCACACGCCTTTAATCCCAGCACTTGGGAGGCAGAGGGAGGCGGATCTCTGAGTTCAAGGCCAGCCTGGTCTACAGAGTGAGTTCCAGGACAGCCAGGGCTACACAGAGAAACCCTGTCTCGAAAAACCAAAACAAACAAAAAAAAAAACAAACAAAAAAAGAAAGTTGGGCAGAATTCTTGATAGTAGGAGGTTCTCCAACAGAAGAATATCCTCTCAGTGATTTTGAACTGTCAACTACAACCATCACTATTGATTCTAGACTCCATGTTAAACAACAGATCTGTTGAATTTGACCTTTATCTGACCTGAGACTAAGGAAGTTATTTATTCGTCTGCAAAACTTGATCCTTCAGGGAAAAGAGGGTTGTGCCAGGCAGTGGTGGTACACGCCTTTAATCCCAGCACTTGGGAGGCAGAGGCAGGTGGATTTCTGAGTTCAAGGCCAGCCTGGTCTACAGAGTAAGTTCCAGGAGAGCCAGAACTACACAGAGAAACCCTGTCTCCCAAAAAAAAAGAGGGGTGTTGAGTGAGATGAAGGCCTTCCAGTCCTAGCAGGAACAGATGCTCGATTCTATTTCCCACTGAATCATCCTGTCGGGAGGCCTCTTGAAGTACATTTAACCACCTTTCTTTTTTTTTCTTTCTTACTTTCTTTTCTTTATTTTTTTTTCTGCCTGCCCCCTCCCCACCAAACAGGGTTTATCTGCATACTCCTGGCTGTCCTGGAACTCTCTCTGTCTTGAAAATAAAAAACAAAAAACAAACAAACAAACAAAAAGCTAACTTGTCCTATCTGGATTGCTATGAGACCAATATAAGAAAGTGAAAATGCTTTTATATATATAGTTGCTCAGCTGTCAACACATGCTAGCTCCCTTCCAGTTTGTATCAGTGGCTTAGTCAAATGTTCATAAGGAAGACTAGCGCACGTTTGAATTCTGGATGCACCTGACACATATTTCTGCACTAGAAGGAAGGTACACTGGGACTCATACTCAAGCTAAGGCATTTTCATTGTTTTTCTTGAAGTGCGTAACTCATCAGACACTAGCTCAAGGCAAAACAAACCCTGAACTTTGGAATTACTGTTTTTTTGTCATGAGCATCTGACTCCTTATCATTAAAACTGGCAAAATACTATCTGCCTATGAGCCCTAGAGCTGTTGTACATCACAAGACAGAACAATGCTGATGAAAACAATTTTTTCAAGCAGGTGTTGTAACTCACTCCTCATATTCCAGCACTTGGGAGGCTGAAGCAGGAAAATTTCCAAAATGAAGCCAGTCTAAAATGAAGAGTAAGAGGCAGGTGGATTTCTGAGTTCAAGGCCAGCCTGGTCTACAGAGTGAGTTCCAGGACAGCCAGGGCTATACAGAGAAACCCTGTCTCAAAAAACAAAAAATAAAATAAAATAAAATAAAATAAAATAAAATAAAATAAAATGAAGAGTAAAATCTTGTCTCAAAAGAACAAAATAAACAAATAGAAAAAGATAGATGTCAGGATAACTTCACATTCCCAGTACCCACATGATTAAAAGAGAAAACAGACTTCTGAAAATTGTCCCCTGGCCTCCACAGATGATCAGTGGCATATGAGCCATCTTCCCACAACTTCAGTGAGACCCTGCTTCAACCAACTAAGCAACAACAAGCAAGCAAGCAAGCAAGCAAGCAAGCAAGCAAGGAACACATTTTGATACCTTGCCTTAACAAAACAAAACAAAACTAAACTAAACTAATGAGCAAGCCAGAAATACACAATGAGATTCTGCTATAAAGAAAAGTAAACCAGGGCTGGAGAGATGGCTCAGCGGTTAAGAGCACTGACTGCACTTCCAGAGGTCCTGAGTTCAAATCCCAGCAACCACATGGTGGCTCACAACCATCTGTAATGAGATCTGATGCCCTCTTCTGGTGTGTCTGAAGACAGCTACAGTGTACTCATATATAATAAACAAATAAATCTTTAAAAAAAAAAAAAAAAAAGAAAAGTGAACCAACAAGCAAACAGCTTAAAATTAAAGCCCGGTCTTCATCAAATCCTCCAACTCTGCTTTAATATTGTTCCACCATCTGATAGTTCCTGATGGCAAGGAGTCAACTGTAAGTGTGAGGTAAGAAAAATAGAACTTGTTGGACACATCACTAAATAGATATATGGTACTTTCAGGGTGTGTGTGTGTGTGTGTGTGTGTGTGTGTGTGTGTGTTGTTCTTGTTTTGTTTTGTTTTGTTTTTTTCAAGACAGGGTTTCTCTGTGTAACCTTGGCTGTCCTGGAACTCACTCTGTAGACCTCGAGGCCAGAGCTGTCTGCCGCTGCCTCCTGAATGCTGGGATTAAAGTCATGTGTCACCCACACCCAGATATTTTTGCTATTGAGACAAGATCTTATGTAGCCCAGGCTGGCCTTGATGCCAGGGACACTTCTGAGTAAGCCTCTTGAGCATTGAAATTACTGGTATGCACTCCCATACCAGGCTCTGAAACAGCTTTCAAGCTACACCGATACAGTATCAGCTACTCAGGA